CGGCCCGGTCCGGGCCTGCCGGGGAGAGGCGGCCCCTCGTCGTGCAGGGGGCGCTTGAGGGGGCGGCCTCTGTTGCCGCTGTCCTGGGCATCCGTGGCAGCCCTGTTGGACCTTGCGAGGACTGGTGGGGCTTGGGGTTTTTGCAGGATCCCATGCTCTGTTAGCTTAACGCTTGGAGATAATGAGTGGCTTTGGCCTGTGCTTGTGTATTTATTTATTAGTTTAATATCCTCTTGTAGCTGCTGTCTGGATTGTGAGATTTCAGCACTGGTGTTGGCATATGTCTTCCCTTCTGTCTGTGACGAATAGAAGCTTTTCAGCTAAAGCAAACTCAGCAACAGCAAAGAGAACATTGAACGTTTCATGTGCTCTGTCATTTGCAGGATGTGGGACTTTGTGGGAGACATCAGACTTGTGACCGTGCCATGAGGAGTTGTTTTATTTACTGCTGTTGTTGTTGCCTAAACTGCCTTTAATTTCCAGGCAGTCGAGATCTGTGCTCACATTTTCAGTATTGTTCATCCAGGTATTGCACTATTAGTGTTTTCCCTGGAGCTATCCTCTGCAGTTGGATTAATAAGGACAACACAATCAGATTAACTGTTCTGTCTGAGTTGCTACATTGCTGTTTCCAACACCAGCAATACTTAGTGCATTGGAGTAAATGAAACAGACATCACCTTTGGTTGTATCAGCTCTCCAGGAACTGTGGTTATGAACCCCCCCATTCATACCTTGTGACATACACTCCTTGTGACTTGTGCTACCTGCATGAGCAAGGTTTATTCTAATGCAATTGGCTGTGCCAGTCCTCCTTTTGAAATAGAGGCATACATAGAAGAGCTAGTTAGTCAGATCTGAAAATGCTTCCTCCTTAATTTGCCCTGGGAATATTTGTTTCTGGGCAATAGGCTGTTGAGAAACAAATCCAGATTCTTACTTAAGGTTATATATATAGTCTCAAGGTTTTACATATAAACTAGCACAAAAACATAATGTACTTTGCTGTGTATTTTTGTTAGTACATCTATAAAAGTTACGTTATTCAGCTATGTTACTCAGCACATTGCCAGGTCCTGCACTTGGGTCACAAGTCTTGGGGAAGAGTGGCTGGAAAGTTGCCTGGCAGAAAAGGACCTGGGGGTCGTGGTCGACAGCCGGCTGAATATGAGCCAGCAGTGTGCCCAAGTGGCCAAGAAGGCCAATAGCATCCTGGCTTGTATCAGAAATAGTGTGGCTAGCAGGACTAGGGAAGTGACTGTTCCCCTGTACTCGGCAGAGGTGAGGCTGCACCTTGAGAACTGTGTTCAGTTTTGGGCCCCTCACTGCAAGAAAGACATTGAGGTGCTGGAGCATTTTCAAAGAGCAACGGAGCTGGTGAGGGGTCTAGAGCACAAGTCTTAATAAGGAGCATCTGAGGGAAGTGGGGTGGTTTAGCCTGGAGAAAAGGAGGCTCAGGGCAGACCTTATCACTCTCTGCAACTACCTGAAAGGAGGTTGTAGCGAGGTTCTGGTTGGTCTCTTCTCCCACGTAACAGGTGACAGGACAAGAGGAAACAGCCTCAAGTTGTGCCAGGGGAGGTTTAGATTGGATATTAGGAAAGGTTGTGAAGCATTGGAACAGGCTGCCCAGGGCAGTGGTTGAGTCACCATCCCTGGAGGTATTTCAAAGACCTGTAGATATGGTGCTGAGGGACATGGTTTAGTGGTGGACTTGGCAGTGCTAGGTTAATGGTTGAACTCAGTGATCTTAGAAATCTTTTCCAACGTAAATGATTCTATGATTACACAAGTGTGCATGTAACACAGACACATTTATCCAAGAGCTTCCACTCCCCTACAGTCCCTCTGATTCTGATGCTTTGTAGCGTTTTCCCTCTGATTGTCTTTGATTTTCTATGACTTTTCTGATGGTACTGATCACTTGAGGACTTACTTCTAAGCACTGGTGCTTTCAAAGGGGGAGCACTTATGTGAGGTATGTAGCAGTTACGCATATGAAAATACTGTTGGTTTTTAGCATACTAGTTAACATAACCCTATGAAAGCAAGCGGAAAAACTAGCCAGAAGGCAAGTGTTCACAATACTTATGCTCTTTTTAACTTATTTCAGTGTATATTTATCTTTGTGCTTATATCCTTATCCGCAGGCAGAGCTAGGCCTTAATGAGCACCACCAGAATGAAGTGATCAACTACATGCGCTTTGCTCGTTTCAAGCGTGGCCTGTGTCTCAAAACAGTGGATTCTTGTTTCCAGGACCTTAAGGACAGCAGGTACCGGGGCAGGGGATGTGGTACTGAGCAAGAATAAAGCAAAATATGCTAGCAACAATTGCAAGTTTAAATGCTTTATGAGGTGACTTCCCTCTGTTTGCTTTTGTGTGTTCTTAGTGAGGAAGAAAGACCCAATAATTTTGCAAATGTTACAAGTCACGTCTTTTTAAAACTATGTTGTTCAAGTTCTTAGGAATTAACATAGGTATTGATAGCATGACAGCATGACATTGCTTTATATCTTGCTTCTGATGTCTAAATTTGATGTAAGACTGTAGTGGAAGTAATACTTGTGATTGTAATATTTCCAAGAGAAAATTTAAATACAGGAACCAATTTGTAGTGCCATGGTGATCTAATAATGACTGACAGTGGATGTTTTCAGAAGGACACTGCATGATGTAAGAGTGGTATCTGCATAGTGAGATCTCATAACAATGCAAATTTGTTACCTTTATCATACGTGACTCATCTTGACTGCTCTGTTTAGACTTGTTGAGGAGACCTTCACAGTTGATGAGGTGATAGACATGCTGGATGGACTGCGGACTGTTGTACACAGTGAAGTGGAGTCAGAGCTCATAAATACAACTTACACCAATGTTTTACTTCTGCGGCAGCTCTTTTCGCAGGCTGAGAAATGGTACCTTAAGCTACAGACAGACATCTCTGAATTGGAGAATCGGTAACATATATTAGACTATACAGGATGCCTTTCATTAATAAGAAAACTTCAAAGTGTTGACTATTTGCATTCTTTTCCTAACCATAAAAACCTATTCTTTTACTATAGTATCAATGATAGCTTGGTTTCAGGACTTCTGTCTATAAAGTAGCGAGCTATACAATAACTTCAAATTTGTCAGGAAGATGTTTTTATTGGTAATATTCTTACTTCAATTTATCATTTAAGAGCAGATGATAGGATTTGATTAAAAAGCCTTTGTTGTCTGAGTAGACTATATTTTAATCAAGGATGGTAAATCTTACAGTTCTGATGCTTATAGCATTGCATTGCATGACATGATCTGTTGTATTTATTGTTTTTGCATAGGACTTCATTCTGTACTTCTAATGAGAATTTTACATGCAATAAAGAGCATAGCATCAAACACATTTTACCAGGCTGATACATGTGTTTTTTTCAGTAAATAAATGCCTCCCGTTTTTTTCTTTTTAAGAGAATTGTTGGAACAGGTTGCTGAGTTTGAAAAGTCAGAATTTACATCTTCAAACAAGAAGGTAGAGTTTTATTTTAATCAATAGTAATCAAATGTCATGTGCAGATATGACAGATATTTAAAATACTTAGTACTGTCTCTTTGTGCTTAAGAGAAGAAAACAAAACCAAACCAAAAAAGCCCACCCTTTTTCTAAACAATCTTTGAAAGTCTCCAAAAAGTAGCATTTTGTGCTCAGACTGAATTGCCTTGGCTGTTTTTAGATTGCAGATTCTGCACATCCAGGGCATGCTTCATCATCCTCATCCAAAGTCAGTTAGACCAGGCATGTGTCGGAGCATCTGCTCCTGGGTTCCCTTTCCCCTGGAAACTGGGGTAAGACTGAGACATTCGCTTGTCCCAAGGCTTTCTCCCAGCATGGAGACAAGAGCTAAGAAGATTCCGCAATATAGATGTGACTCTAGCTTATCTTGTATGATTATGGTTTCATTATTATTGCATTATTTGGTTTTTAGTGTAAATTTATATTTAGTTAATATAGATTATATTTGAATACTTAAAATAAGAAAATTAATTTGAATGGGGGGGAAATTCTTACTCTTGCAATCACTCAATTATTTTTTTTTTTTTCCTTACTCTTTTGTCTTTTGACTGCTGCTGCATTGGTAGTCTTTTGGAAATTCAAGTTTGCAATCCTTTTATGTCTCTGTGCAATATTTTTGTTTTAACTTTAGCTGAAAGTGAAGTATATAACTTAGCAGCCAAGGTACCAGCAAAAAATGAACTTGAAATAAAAGATCATTCATTTGCTTTACAAAAGAAAGCTGAATTGACTGTCAATAGTTATTTTACAGACTAATGGAATACTTTTTTTTCCTCGTAGAAATTTGTATAATTTAATTTTGTAACCTTTATTGTTTCTTTAGCCCAATGCAGATCTCATTAAACCAAAACTGGCTCCATTAAATGAAGGTGGGTCAGAGCTGCTTAACAAGGTGAGAACTTGTCTGTTGGTGCAGTTGTGGTTAATGACCATTCTGCTTATTCAACTGAACTGGATAGCTGTACAGTAATATTTGTATAATGTGCTTGTCACTCTGCAGAGATCAACATAATATACCTCAGAATGTAAAGTAAAATGCTAACAATTAATTAATACTGTAAAACATCTTAAATTCATTGTGTGGTTATGGTCTCTAACATGTACTGCAATATTAACCTTCATTTTGCAAAGACATTTTGACCTTTGTAATTATTTATTTTTCCACTTAATGAAGTAGATTAGTAGAAAGCAGTATTCAGTTTGTTCTATGCAGCTGGCTGGCTTTCCAAGAAGGAAATAAGTTAAAATATGTAGCTGGCAGAAATTATTAGGTTATCGGACATTTGCTATATCACTTGAAGTCAATTCTATTACATTTCAGTCTCTTTTCTTTTGTTAGTTGGTTAAATTCCTCCTAAAGAAATGGGCACTTAAAAGAATTTGGAATTTGCTAGTTTTGAAAACATCTGATTTCCCACTTGCTAAAGATTTTAAGAATTACAAAACACATTCTAATATTTAATGTTGTCAATATTTTTATTAGGTATTGAACTCATTTAGTTCAACTGAACTTTTTAAAAATGCCACACTTCTTACAATACACTTTAAGTAATGGGCAGTCAAGAAATTTAGCAAGCAGTTAGTTGTGTTTTCTGTCTTTTAGCCTGCATTACCAAAATGATCTGTCAAGTACGATGTCTGAATCAAATTGTTGCTACCCATTACGATACTAAAAGCATGCAAGAATTCAGACTTGTATTTTACTTATAGATCAGTGTAGTTCTCTTTCAAAAATATTTTCAAAATCTGTTTCACAACAGTTTTTGTAGAATACGTGCATCTGATGTCTTTTTTATTTTCAAAAAGAATTCAAAGTTTATATGGTGAATTTACTGTAACTGATAAAACATGGTTGTTTACTGTGACACAGAACAGAACATGATATGCAGTAACCTGGTATTTATCTCTTTTTAAGCAGGAACTATGAATAAATTCTTACTTGCCTGTTGATCGAAAATACAAATGATAAGCAGCAATGAGATTAGCATCTCTGAACATGCAATTTTCTTTATTGTGAGTCTTGATACTAACAAGATCCTGAGCTCACTAATCTCAGTTGAGTAAAGCATGTGCTAGATTTAAGTGAATGGTCTTATATATTACACTAGAATTGGAGACTTAAATTTCTTGCTGACTGAGGCAGAAAACACAATAAATAAATGGATTATTGATTTCTTACAGAGGCTATTTTGATAAGCATTTAAAAGCTTGTTTGCTTTCCTAAGCTATGAAACATATTTTTTTACCTGAAATATTTGGCAAATTCAAAATAGCACAAGAGTGTTCACAAACTGTTTCTTGCTCATTAACCCAAAGACAGTTGCTTGTCTCCAAGAAGAAAATGAAAAATTGAAGATCAGACTCAGGACCATAGAAACACAGGTAAATGCCCTGTAAGCTTGGATACTCAATGCTGTTTACGTATTAAAAAACAGCTAAATAAGAATCCCATGGTTATTATTCTCATGTTTTCAACTAAAATATGTTTCTGAGGTTTTATATTTTTCAATGTCTCATAGGCTACAGCTGCGCTAGATGAAAAGTCCAAACTAGAGAAGTCACTGAAGGATTTACAGATGATCCAAGGAGATCAAAAGGTAAATATAATTGAGATTTCCCCCACCACCCTCCCCTGCTGCCTGTACATCTAAAACGTTGGTCTGTATGGTGTGTTTCTTTTCTAGCAAATACAAAAGTTCCAAGTTAGTATCATCATGTTTCTGCTGACATTGTCATGTTGCTGCTGGTCTGTCAGTCAGTAGATAATCGAGAATGTTAGTTGATTTTATGGCATGTATTTTGTGTCACAAAAACCATAATAAATTATTATCAGAAAGTATTATTCCAGGTACTATCAGGAAGTAGTAATCCAGAGTTCATATTCTCAGGGGTGATATTTGTATTAAGAGTTACAAATTTATCTCTGTTTGTTTCTTCCCGTTTACTAATGAAAGAATAATATCTAACCTGTTTTTTATAGCAGCAGTAAAACACTAATTCTTTGAAGCATTTGCCACATTTGATATTGACATGGACAAGCCAGACTTGCTGCTTCTCACTTCAGACTTCAAGAACTCAAATACTTTTATATAGTGTCCAGTGTCCTATATTCTTAAACATCAGTTGAAGTTTTGCTACAAATGTCAATGACCATGGGTCAGATTCAAAATGTTTGATTTGTATGTAGGTCTACCTGTATCAGCATACTGTCAAAAATGGTTTACTGTTTCTTTTTACTACTTGAAGTTCTTTAATCTTTTTTGTAAATGAGGATGCAAACATGGTGAGTTGCTGCTGTGGAAAAAAGACAGAAGCTAGAAGTCATGCAGATTGACACAGATAAATCTGTTCAGGTCACTTTGGTGGTTTTTTTTTTAAGTTTGTACCTTCATTTTGTCAATAATTAGCATTTTCTACAGTTTGCTCATGTATGATTGTTTCTTAAATTTTAAACATTCAGTTCAAACTTTTATCAAAATTAGAACATTTTAATCTCATTATTTTGAGAAACTGACTTTTGAAAATTCCTGCAGTATTTACAGATTTGGAAGTAAAGTTCAATATCATTTCCACTTTAATTTTTGTATTTTAATCCTGATTTCTTTTTATTTTGCTTTCTAACTGGTTTATGGTATGTATTTGGCTTTCATAATATGTTATAATTTCATCTAGTAACTTTCAAAATCTGTATTCAGGAACATTATTTAATAGGGAACTTGATTTCTCACTTATTGCAAATATTTTCTTTATCTGTTTTGTTAAGCCTTAAATTAGTAAAGGTTTAAAATATTAAAGGGGTTTATTAAATCCTGGATAATAGTGTTTGTAGTTTTAAAAGATTGGAACGAAATCTCATCCTACTTTTCTGGTAAAACATGGCCTCAATGTCAGGGCTGCTGAGTTTCTGCAGCTTTCATGTCCTAATTTGCTCTCTTGCATTTTCTATTTACAGCCATGTATATGTTGTTGAAACTAGCTAGTAGATACAGTGCTGAAATGTGCTACTTTATTTTATCAATTAAAGTGTTAGTTGTTTAAAGAAAATGCTAAATTTTATCTGGTTTCACTCTGCATTTTTATGGCATGGGTATCAATAAAATCATATGAACTCAGTTGCTCATTAAAGCAGTAGTTTTCAGACTCTTGGACAAAAAAAAGACTGCCAAATGACAATGGTTCTTAAGGAACAACTCTTAACTCAGCAAATTTGCACTTTTTGTTTGTTTTTTTAAATAGTTTTAAATGGTTCCACATACCAAGTGTGAACTACGGTTTGTGAGTAGTTGCTTGTTGGATCAGTTTAAAGTAAGGATTTAGAATTTTTACATAATTGACTTATGTTACAGTTTAGAAAAATGATCACTGTCTATTCTGATCTGAAACACTATACAATGTAGTGCTTTTTACCATTGCAGTTTGAGACTCCATCTCAAAATTCAAAATAAGCTTTTCTTCTGTACCAGTAGTATTATCAAGTGGTTTCCTATGCTCAAATCTTACCTTCCACATAGAAAAAGGAGCAGAGTTTTCTTAGTTTTAGATTCTTGTTCTTTTTAAGGTTCTGCTGGTTCAGCCTCATCCTGAGTCATTATACTTGTGAGAGTTTGAACTTGAGCTTTTAAACCTGGGAGGTTTGTTGTTTTTTTTTTTTAAATGGAAATCCATAGAACAGTTACATGAACATAATGTTTTGTGACCCAGAACTCATGTCCAGAAGAGTTTTGGTTGTTTCTTCTCACAAGGAAACAGGAAAGTTGCTTCACAAGCAGTTGTGGAGGCTTTTTTTGTAATGCGTCTGAGAACAGTGCAATATCAGTACCTGACTGATAATATCAGTCTTAACACTTTCATCCTTTCTCAGCCTTAACACTTTCATCCTTTCCTACCTGTATTACACTAACAGCTTTTGAAATGGCTGTGATATTTTACCTGCTTTAAAAATACATTATAGCATAGACATTTGGATCTTAAGCTGTAATTTCCTATTTCTGTATGCTAAACAACTTCTTGTGATATGCTTCATCCTGTGGCTTCACCTAATTCCTAAAGAAGTGAAGTACAAGAATTTGAAATCTCAACGTGGTATAGAAGACATTCTAGCCGTCTCTGACATGCATTTATTAACAATTTTTAAAAGTTATAAATTAGATAGTGCTTTAACTATTTTTTTTTTTTTTTAGTTAAAGCACTTCTAATTTAGGTTTTACAGGAATAGTATGAACATAATTATTAAAAATTAAGATGTACCCACTTTATCTAGAATTTTGCACTCAACATTTTAAATATTTCTTCTCTTGCATTTGACATATTTTAAACATTCTTCTTTTGAAGACTAATGCAAACCAGGATATCACTGAACTGGAGAACAAAGTGGCAGCTTTGAAATGCCAGTTTGAGAAGACTTTGAATGACTCTACTGCAAACCAAAAATTCTTGGAAGAGAACTTGGTAACAACAAAACATGATTTGCTTAAGGTTCGGGATCAGCTATCCACAGCTGAAAAGGTTAGCAGTTGATCGTAATGTAAAGATGAGATCTTTACTCGTGTTTTAACTGCTGAGTAATTTAACAAGCATACACTACAGGATGCAGAGTTCACTGGGTCACACTTGTGCCAGTGTATTTTTGTTATTTCAGTGGAAAAGCACGTGTTTATGTAAAATAGCAAAACCACAGCTAACTGCGTGATTATAACTAGGTGAATACTTAAAAAATGCCCATTTGTCTGCATAGAAATTTTTGAATGAAAAGTGTATTCCTAGTCTTCAGAAGACTTCTAGCCTGATTTCATTAGGAAATAAAGCTTGTGTTTCTCTGTCTCTTCCAGTAATATCATTTGAATTTACTAGCTGTCTTCATCTAAATTTGAATAAGTTAGAGAAACTACTGTTCTGAAACTTGATGAGGAAAAGCAAGTCATCTTTTTTAAAAAGCAGATTAGCCTGGTTTTTGTAATATGTAAATAATATGTTGGTGTTATTATTATGTAGGAATTAGAGAAGAAATTTCAGCAAACAGCTGCCTATCGCAACATGAAAGAGATTCTCACTAAGAAGAATGAACAGATAAAGGATCTACGTAAAAAACTTTCCAAGTAAGCGGTGCTGTTCTCTCTGTCCAAACAGGATCCTTGTTCTGGATCCATATTCTGCCCCCATTTTGTTTTTGTAAATGTGGAGCTGTCTCTAAAACTGACTATAAATTTTCCCTTAAAAAGAATTTTTAGTAGGCTATTCCCTGTTTTTTGACAAGCCAATCCTATTAATGGACGCTAGGTGAATCAGGCTGATGTGTGCAACAGCAGCTACTGTGTAGCAAGTAGTGAGACAATTTAGTATGGAGAGGATACAAAATATTCATGGGTGTGGTAGATAAGCCCCCAGGTGCTACACACAGAGATACAGGTGGGAGATGTGCCAGATGCTTTGGCATTATCTTATTTCTTCCACGTTTGTTTATGGGAATGAGAAGTCTGCAGTATGTGAAGAGGTTTAAGCCTGTACTGAGTAAAGAAAGATGCACCCTGGCCATTATATTGCGTAGAAGACTATCATTCTGCAAATGTCAAGTGAGCTTTGGCAACGTGGATGCCTTAGACTGTGCTGTAGGAGGACAGAGGTGGAACTTAAAACTTCTATTTAAGCATCTGCCTGTGTTTTGGGATTTGTGGGTAGGTTCCTGATCAGTCCCTCATTCTACTATTTGGTAAACTGGCCAATTTTAAAATTAGAAAATAGTCTAAACAAATATATACATTTGTCCGTGCCGTAAGTCCTATAGCGAGCCTTGACAGCAATGCGTCACTAGTGGGAGTAACTTATCACTTGGGTTTCATGTTTTATTTAGAGACAAAATGTCTCTTGGGTATCTTCTACTCCGTTTTAATGATATTTTTTTTAAATTATTATTATTATTTTTTAATCCTCAGATATGAGCCAGAGGACTAAAACACCAAGAACATCTGATCTATCGGAAGCTGCCATAGAAAAAAAATGTAGACTGATATTATTTTTCAATAATTTTTGTTTTGAATTGTATATTTTTTGCTTCTAGTGCTTAAAATAACTTTTTATTAATACTAATAAGATGCTGAAACTCCTATCTTACTTCCTTATAAACCCATAATTTATAGGTATTAGTTTCTGTAGCCATGTTTTTAATTGTTAACTGTCAACATTCCTTGAGAAACAGCAAGCATTGAAGAACTGAGACCATTCTCTACAAAGAAAGGAGTTTATTTTCGTTAAGAAAAGAAAGAAAGAAAAAAAAAAACAAACGTAAGCATTAGAGTTTCTTCACATCTCTGAGATGGAAATTCCAGTTGTTACTTTTGCATAGTTAATGTAGCCATGAAGTGGCATTGGATGTGAAAATTGCATCAATGGAAGTAAAAATTAGGAGTAAAGAAAAGAAACACGCTGATTCTGTAACATTATGTCACACTGGACTTCTCATACCTCAGCAAAATGTGGTCAGTAACATTTTGCTGGAAGGTTTTCATTAGATAGTGACGTAAATATGCTTTATAGCGGAAGTGCTGGACCCTTTCAAATAAACCCACTAGTTGGAGGTATACTTTTTCACTTTAACTTATTTGAAACAAATTTGAGCATCAGAATGTGGATTCTGATTTTGCCAGTATTTTTAAATGTTAAGGTGATAATCTGAAAAAGCATAGGGAAGTTGCTAATGGAGCAACTTGCTTGGGAAATAAGTTGTTTTAGATGTTTTCATCTCCTTTCTTATTGTAACCTCACCAGAAAACAACTTACTTCATTCAAGTCTTTTGCTTGTGATCCTCTGCCTTGCATTTATCTGGAGGTCTCTTAATAGTGCATTCTACTTGTTCATCTGTCCCTATTCATATGTATGTTGTATTTTACTCCAAATAAAACCATTGTGTTTTCAAACACCTAATCTTGAAAGGAGCTGGGTTTTTTATAGGAATGTTTTCTATAGCTCTTTTTTAAATATCTGTAGAAAGGAGTGGCGGATCAATAAAGAATCTTGCTAGAAATGCGAACGTGTAAATTACAGATTCATGCCCAAAGCCACACCACATCAAACAACTCTAAAAAATAGTGTACCAGTGGCAGGGCTGGAAAAAGGCTGGTGTATGTGTGCTACAGAAACTGGCATTGTTAAACGCCAAGTGCTTGTCTCAGGAGCTGCTTGAACTGAAATGGATTATTTTTCCCCATTCTTTCTCAAATGGGCAAAGCTGTTAAAATTGCTCAAGTGGTGATGCCCCAGTCAAATCTGCCATACATTTACAGTTTCTAAATTCTTTTGTTGTCCTTTTTCCCCCACTGGCTAAGCAAGATTGGTTTGGGGTAAAGTCCTGTGTCTGTAGCATGATATCATTGCTGTAGCACGATAGTAGGGCTTTATGGGGTGACATACTCCTCATGCAGTGTCAGGTAAATTAATGAAAGGTATTATTTTTTCCCCTCATACAGTCACTGAAATGTTAAGTTCTTAATAGGGATGTACCAAAGAGCTTTCTGGCCTGTGTTTGCTCAGACTAATTATGTTGACACCAACAGGAATACTTGTCTGGGTGAGTATTGTGTTTTTCTTTGTAATGAAACCAATTTTAATGATTAGTTACTGTTTCTAAAATGGCAGGTAAAAGGCAGAGAATCTCATGACACTTGCTATTTTTCTCTTTTCTGGTAAGTCTTTTGACTATTGACTTAGCTGGAATATTGTCTTTGTGATAGGTCTTCATTATCTGCTTAGAGACCATTTCAACAAGAAAGTATACTCTCAACTTTAGAATATGGATAAGTGTCAGTGAAATAAGTTGGCTGTAGACAAGCATGGTTACGAACCTTGTTGTCTCCTCAAGTAAGTAAGGCAAATCTTGTAGACAACTGTGTAGTGCAAAACTGAAACACTGACTTTGATCAATGGACTTGCAGATTGCCAGTTCAGTGAGTAGGGGATCAGTGTGATGCTGACATTAGTTTGTGTTGCACAATGGTGAAGGTAAAGGTCTTGTGTGGAGCTCTTGAAAAAATGTACATCATCTATCAAAGGTGATGTACCTGTCAAAGAAGGCCTGGAGTGTTATACAGTAGCGATTCTCTTTTTCTTGAGATAGATGCAGTATTTTGAGGATGGAGATGACATCTGAATCTCTCCTGATTGTCTAATGTTTCTAAAACTTCACTGCTTTCCCTGAAGTGTAAATTCTAATACTGCTTTTACCAGTCTTTGATTTTCAGAAGCTAATCATGCTGCTCAAATAAATATCATCCATTTTTTCCACTTCAGCTGTTAATTCCCTAGTTATGCCTGAAAGGAATGTTTAAAAAGAAAATTTCTCTGTAACTGGCTGATCTGCAGGAATCAAATCTTTCAAGCTAAGTGGTTGGTTTTTTTGCTTGCAAACTGAAGCATATTTTCTACAGGAATGAAATCTAGGAAGCTCAGGTTCTCTAGTACTGACTCTGACAGCTAACAACCAATCTTATGCTGTAACAGTGATTTGAGTTAAGCAGTTGGTCATTAATAAATGCAGTACTGCATGCTGTCTTCTCAATGAGACAGCATATTACCTGATGTTCTTTAACTGTTCATAAAATACTCCTTAATCAGTTTTTCTCTTGTGAATAATAGCCTCTTTTTTTTTTTTTTTTAATGTCCTAAGTTGCATACTAACATATAACACTTAAAACTGCAAGTGCTTCTCTTTATTTGACAGACCAATGTAAGGACAGCTGCAATCTGGACATTTCTCACATACCTTGCTTTTAGGAAATCCACAGTCATCTGCCAGGCATTTAGAATTCAATTCAGCTAAAAAGTTCTTAAGATTCCTCAGTCTGATTTCCCCCTCCTGGCATTATCAAGGGCTGTTCTTGGCTTCTGCATGATACCAAATGCTGTCAGACCACAGTCAAATGATTCTTACTGCTTCAGGAAACAAATGTGAAGCATCTTGGGTTGTCACATGGCTGAATGGATCAAGCTTTAGAAGTTTGAGCTGTTCTAGGAGGCCAGGCCTTTTAAAACACATTAAAAAACAATTTACTGTGATATGAAGGTAAGTTCATATGTGAGCAGGAAAGAATTGTTGTCGTGTTTCTGTAATTGTAAATGTTTCAAACTGGCTTTGAGCAGAGAATGTGCCCATGGGAGTTGCCCTATGACTGTTAGTTTTGCCAATGTCCCAGTGAAGCATTGGCCCAGGGTTCCTGCCCTGCTCTGCTGACTACAGAACTCTCCCTGAAGGCAACACATCCACCCTTCTAATCAGAGTCTCCTCTCAGACATACTGTGAAACATTAGGCGGCCTCTTTGGAGTCAACTCTTCTCCAATAAAGGTGGGTAGATACATGCCATTCTATTTCAGCACTCGTAATATCTAGAGACTTTGATTTTTGTCATTTTTTTAATTATTATTTTTAGGAACCTGTTAATGTAGTGTCTTGGAGCGTTATAAATGATGGTGATGCTGAGGAGTTGGTGCAGGACTCCGACAGGGCAGCTCACGACTGACAGCTGCTGGTGAACAAGAGAGCTGCCCAGAGACCTCCCCAAACTGCAGGCAAGCTTTGACAGAGAGAAGGCATGAACTGGCAGAAGACGCGCAGAAGAACTGACTAAATAGGCCAGGCATCCATTTGATTTTAGTGAGGTGCCAGTTTGTGGGTCTTCTGCTTTACACAAGTAGGTTCTGAGGTCTGGGTGAAGTAGGTGCAATTCTGTGAACCAGAACTGTGTTGACTGCACCTTTACGGAGATACCCTAAAAAACCCCACTGTTACAAGGTGGATAGAGCTGTGGTGCTAAAGAAAAGCAAGGAAAATAAAAAGAGGGACTCATTTCAGGCATGCTTTCTTGGGGATAAGGCCTCCATAAAGATGCTTTATATTATTCATCTCTGCAGACTGAGGTAGTGCAAAATAGTTTTAAGGGCAATTAAGGGGCCGGATATGACTTCAGGGTACAGACCTCAAGGGCATCATCTACAGTTTGGAACCAAGCAGCTAATTTTGAACCCCCACCCTTTCTCACCCACTTCCCTTAAACCCCACACTCTTACATTTGTTAGGTACCGGGGGGGGGGGGGGGGAAGTCGTGACGAGCTGGAAGGAATAATTGCAATCCTAATAACTGCTTAGAGGAGTAACTGTAATCCCCAATTACATGTAGAGCAATCATCCAACAGTTGTCATGGCCTATGAGTTGTCAAAGGTTTGGAAATCCAGCTGGATTTTGTCTTTCTCCTAAAGTAAGGAAACATGGAGCTTAGACTAGCAACTGTGAACGGGCAATCCAAGCAGAAAAACCGTATGTGGGGGCTGCAGCTCTCTTGGCTGCATATCTGCTTCCCTTGATAACATCACAAAACATTTGGAGAGGCTATAGAAACTCTTCCATCACTTCCCTTTGATAATCATCCAATGTGCGAACAACCAGCATGTTTCCATTTGGAAAGGAGTTCCTACAGGAATGGTAGATACTAAACACCAGAGCTGGTCCCTGCTGCCACTTTGTCCCCCTCCCGCATATCTGGCTCATCAAGGAAAGCCCAGAGGGTTTATTTTAAATCTAGCGTTATGGTCCTGCACTCGGCTCACAACAACACCATGTAATGCTACAGGCTTGCGGAAGAGTGGCTGGAAAGCTGCCTGGCAGAAAAGGACATGGGGGTTGTGGTCAGCAGCTGGCTGAATATAAGCCAACAGTGTGCCCAGGTGGCCAAGAAGGCCAATAGCATCCTGGCCTGTATCAGGAATAGTGTGGCCATCAGGACTAGGGAAGTGGTGGTCCCCCTGAACTTGGTACTGGTGATGCTGCACCTCGAGTACTGTGCTCAGTTTTGGGCCCCTCACTACAAGAAAGACATTGAGGTCCTGGAGTGACTCCAGAGAAGGGCAATAAAGCTGGTGAGGGGTCTGCAGCACAAATCCTATGAGGAGCGGCTGAGGGAGGT